TAGCGACGGAGCGGATTCCGGGAGATGAGTCTCCCGAGGATGAGGCAATACATATACCTGAGATTCGGGTGGATTGTGGTCCCCCGAGGAGGTGGTACGGACTTACTCTGCCAGGTTCGGGCCCGAACCTGACAAGTATTTCCGCGGCGGATGGTCGGCGAGGGAGAGTTGCAGCGATTGGCTCTCTCGTTATAGTCGACGGCGTCGGTTGTAGCCGACGTCAGGTGAGCTCCGGTATTGAGAGGTGACATCAATGCCGGAGTGGGGACACGCCTAGCATCGAGAGGTGCCATCGATGCTAGGGTGGGGTGATGTGTTCGGGCGGAGAAAATAAAAAGATACTTATGTCGGATTCCGAGTGTGTGCGGAGTAGATGGAATCCGAGGAGAGAGGTGGTTGTGCTACGCACATGGGGAGTACCTACCTACGCATGGTGCGCGTAGAGACGATTTGACGGACTCTGTCCTGCGACTTGTCGTACGGCCGACTTGTCGTACGGACTTGATTGTGATTGCTGCATGCTTACAGTGATTATGTGTTAAATTCCTGTTTATTAGAATATTAGTACATACACACATATATCTATATGTTTGTGCTTTCCCTGGCACCATGAGAATAGAACTCCGGGTTACGCCCGAGTTCACTCTCTAAGCAATTAGCTTAGGACGTTGTTACGCAACGTTTCAGGCCGTGCGCAGCAGTAGCCGAGGAGCGGACATCGGAGACCTGGGCAGAGCACATCTACAGATCATGTATAAATACGTATTTTGATACATTTATATTTTGGGGAACGTTTTGAATATATCGGTGGTAGACTTTGAGATTTGTAATAATTTGATTACTACCACTCGATTATGTGTATTTATAACTAGGAAATAATGTATCGTATATGTATGTAAGAAAGTTTCTTCCGCTATACTCTGAGAATAAAAGTTTTAAACTCCCGCGGATTTTTGGAAATGCAATTTTTATTTTATTTGTCCATGTGGCGCAACTCGTATTGCGGGATACGGGTTTCGGGTGTCACAGTATAAATTTATATTTTGTTGTTTCATATTTTAAAGATGTTCATAATGGTATTTTATATTATATCTTGTTTGAATAATTTTTTTATTATAAACATTTCAAAAAAATAATAGTATAACCGAATCTTTATTTGGTTATAATTTTAAGTATATAAAACCGAATTGAATCGAATAAAATTAAATAACCGTTTGGTTATAAATTTTTAAAACCTGAAATACCCAAACTCGAATTAAAATTAAAGATGACCTATTCAGCCGAACTTCGCCCAACCCTAGATGACAGGACGTATTATTCTTTCTCCTCTAGTGTCTATAATCAAAGTTGAAGACTAAATTCTGATTCTTTCACTTTTTTTGGGGGATGACTGTTCTAAGAATTGAGAATCTTTCTAGCCACTTCGATTAAAGCGGCGGGTTGATATTCACCTGTCCATTGAAGGAGTTTCGGTTTTCTCAAATCTCAATACGATTAAACCGAAGCTGAACCGAGATAATTTTCTCCTGAGTATTTGTGTTTAGTTTCCTCGGTTCGATTTCGGTTTTGGTTAAGCAATTAGGTTTCGGTTACATGTTTTTCAGATTGTCATTCGGTCATTTTAGGCTTAGCTGAACTAAACCGCAATCTGTGTTGTTTCTTGTAACTAAACCGAATTCAAATCGAACCACATTTCAAAAAAAAAAAAGCTTGATGACGAAATTTTCTGGGTATTCAAATCATACCGTATTAAAATCGTACTGTTTCTTGTAAAAGATATATGATCTCTATACGGTTAGGTATGTTAATCTACGATAACCAGCTCTAGTATAAATCTGAACCGAAATTATTGGACAAAGCATTCTCGAACTTGAAAACTCGGCATTTTTTCAAGTACTGTATCTTGTTAGATATTTAGAATTATTTCTCTATTTTTAAACTAAGAGGATATGGTACGAATATTTATAATTTGAGACTATAATTTTTTAAATATGATTATAATTTTTATTTAAATTCATTTATAATAATAACATAATAATGGTAACTATTTTATGAAAATTGGCAGAGAAAATCTGAAATATTTACGAAAGCAATGATAATGGTAGTAAGTACTATGAAAACATTGATAATGATAAGGAAGGTAGCCCTTCATATAGGTTCGAGTATCAATTTTGAGAGAGATATTCACATAAATGTCCAATGAACTTCCAGATAAAAAAAAAAATAGTAAATAGACTTTCATACTAATATACAAATTAAATTCTGCATACTTTTTAATAATTATATCAATTCTAATGTGATTTATCAAATGATTTTTTTGTTTTGTTCTAATCTAATTAGGAAAGTCGTGAAAGGGGAGAGTATTTATCCAAGGAATTTCTTTTGTTCTAACGGACAATATATATAAAAATTAATCTCTATATATAAATTTTTTGCTTCAACCTCTATAACTCTCGAACCCTAATTTTCTAAAAAATCTGCTAAATAACATTTTTATCACTCACTAAAAACCTCTGTTTAATGTGGAGATCTCTCATTTATTTCCTCCATTTAATGAAAATTTTTCAAAAAGAAAAATGGATAAAACTAAAGAAAATCTTTTCTTTTTAACCAAAGGGATTCAAAAAATTGGTTATAACTAGAAGAGAGCCGCGCGATGCGCGGGTTTTTCGTTTTTATTGTTAAAATATTTTTTATTATAAAAAATTATTGATATGAATATAGTAAAATATATATATATATATATATAGAAATTTATATATATATAGCAAAAATTATCTCAAATTGGTTTTTCTTTGTTTAAATATCATGTTTAAAAGTATTTTCTCTATATAAATAATTGTTGACAACGAAATGTTTAGCATAAGAATATTTGATTCATAAAAAATGTAGTTAAATTAATATAAAAAAGAGATTATTTTTATAAAAATATATTGTTAACACCATGTTATTCAATAAAAAAACCGAAAATTGAAATATAAAAATTGGAAGAATTTTGCAAATTGATATATCTATTGGGGAGTTAACAAATTCATATATTTTTTAAGTTTTTTTATAAGAAATTGATGTATTTATTTGAACTTTTTAAAATAAAATAAATTATTAAATATCAAAATAAATAAATATATACATATATATATATACATACATATACATACTTATATACATATATTTATACATGCATATATATATATAAATACACATATATCGATTTTTTTCAAACGAATTTATGTAAATGTACCACTTTCTAAAAACTATCGAGTTTTGATATAAAATACACTAAAATTTAAAATTTACCTCAATTCATTACTGAGTCATGGAATAAGTAGCAATGTATATATGTGAATGGACCTTATTTTTAAATCATATAATAAATTTAGTTTCGATTGTAGTTTTAAATTTAATAAATAATGATGATATTTATGATGACATATATTTATTTATACATATTTTATAGAGAGTTTATTAGATGTTACTATTTTCAAATATATTAAGATATTATATGTATGGCTAGATGTATGACATTATTATTGTTATTGTTATTTGAGAAATTTCCAATTATTATTATTATTACAAGGATTTAAAAAAATACACAATTATAGCAAAGTTCTGAAATAAATACTAAACTTTTTATTTACATAAAATAAAATGTATAAATATACATGCATAAACATACAAACACATGTACATATATATATATATAATTGTTATGTCATATTTTTTTATTTATTATTGTAGTATATTTTTATTTTATTTGACATTCTTTTTAATATGCAAAATCAGATAAAAAAAAAGTTGTGACGTCAATAATAATAATAATAGAAAATTATATTAAAAACATGTAAATTGCTAAAATGTTCTACAGACAAAAATAACTTATAAACTTTTAGATTTAATTATTTACTTGTTGAAAATGTCATAATCGTTGTTTAATTCATCGAGGTCTTCGTCATCAGCACCACTCACTCATCATGCTCCTCCATCAGACACTTCCATTGGGACTCTAACCCTCCTCCATCTGATTATGTGAATCCAGCGTCTTCGATCATGTCATCTCCTCCCCCAACTCCATTGGACTTCATACCTCCTCTCCCACCACCAGTACTCTCAAGCCCACCACCTCTGCCGGATGACCCACCGCCGACCGATCCTACGCCTGTAGTCTCCTCGCTGCTGCCGGCCCCGATCAAATCCACTTCCCGTCCTCCTCCACCATGGACCCTATAATGTAGGTTTTAAAAACGAAGCCAAAATAAAAACACTCTCTAAGCTTGAGAAACGTGGAATAAAATTATAGTGAAGCTTTCGACCCAAAAAGCTGAAACACCCTGCGTCAGGACCAGTGAAATCACCTCCGGCCCCACAGGCAATCCCTCCTGGTTCTACGAGCCTGTTCCATGCACCACCTTCCATACTTGCTCTGCTCCAGGCATGCCGACGCAGTCTCTGTCGCTTCCGTGAAGTTTACCGTACATGCGTTCGTCTAATTTCTCTGTCAAATCAGGTAAAATAAAATCCGCGGTTACATTTAATTTGATCATTTTTTTCCGAATAATAGAAAATATAATTAATTATATCGACGCATGGGTGGCTCAATCATTTAGATATTAGATTATTTATTCTGCAATGACGTTCACCAATTTGCAATGGTATTTAATCTGATCATTATTTTTCCAAATAATAGAAAATAGAATTGATTATATTGTGGACGTAATTAATTTTGCAAAAAAAAAAAACGGCGCATGGTAAGGGTTCAACCTTTTGGTTTTAGATGGATTATTAACTGTTTTCGTTCAGTGGGTCAATTTTTATTTTGCCAAACCAAAAATATTTATTAATATCATCATTTTCCATGAACCCTTTAGCTTGCCATTTAATTATATTGTAAATTTTTTGGTACTTAGCTTTTAAACCATTACCATTAAATCACTTCACGGTTTTGGAATGTAAAACAAAATATTAATACCGTCATTAACGTATTCGTTTTTTATCCAACATAAATTTAGCATTTAATTATATTTTTTATTTTTGGTTCTGAAGTCAAGACATTAAATCATATCACCATTAACATACGACACTTTTGTTATATTGTATAATTTAAATATATTTTGAAATAAAAGTTTTATAAATTAAAAGTGTAAATAAGATTTTATAAGCTTTTATATAAAATTTTCTTATTATAATTTTCAAGATTATTATTATAGTAATCATTTTACAGTAAATTTTGTAGATATGAATTTAGTAAAAAAATAATTCTTTTTATAAAAAAGATTATATTTGTTTTTTAAACAATGATATGATATTTTTTTGTTCTTACATGTATCGCCTGATTCTTTAAAATATCTATTTCTATTTAAAGAATTTTTAATAAGTTGAAAGTTTTGATAAATATAACTATTATATAACAGTTATCCAACTTATTAGTTAAGCCTGTTATATAATAATTATCCAACGTATCCAACTTATTAGTTAAGCCTAATTAAGCCTAATATATATATATATATATATATTAAGTTAATCACATACCATGATTTAAAAAATATATTATTCATAATTTATTTCAATATAATCTTCTTTAAATTTTCAATTTTTTATAAGTGTGCAATTATGAATCGTCTAAAATAAAAAATTATAAATATAATATTACATACTTTGAATATTAGTCACATTCATGTATCTTTTTTTTTAATTAAATAAACTGTATAAGCACAATAACTTGTTATTAAAATTAATGTAAAAAAACACATGCGTAATCCATTAAAGATACAAATCTAATCAACACAATATAAATAATAAAGAAATTAAAATTATATGCGAATATGCATCCTACAGAGACGTTTTTGGTGAAGGAACTCCAACCCTCTCGGAAGCCAGCCATTTATAGATTTAAATGAGAGATTAGTATGGGGTGGAAAGAATATTGTTAAACTGTTATACCTTTTATATATACACATGAAAGGGTGACGAATGATTCTGATCAATACATCGAGAATGTAAACACAAAAAAAAAAAATACTACATATAGTTATAGGATAAGAGGGTTAAGAGGGAGAGTGACAAAAGCAAATATGAAAATGTTTAGAGGAAAACTAATATATTGAGACGAAGACATTAATAATATAGATCAATTAGATCAATTAGACATTAATAATGTTTAGGGGAATTTAAAAATTGCAAATAACCAAAACATAATACCTATAGTTAAAGAAAGTTTTAAATAATAAATAAAAATTATCACATGGATGATGAGGTGGAAAATCTAATTAAATGTTTATACTAATGAAGATTTTTAATAACCAATCAAGATCTCAAAAACTTCCAACTAAGATTCTTAGGTGGCTTCACCACAATCATTTAAACTCCTTTATTAATATATATAGATTTTCAAATTGCAAAATTTTGATAGATTGGAAGAAAAAGATGCCATTTCGAAGGAGAGTAAGAGAAAGAAAAATGATTTCGAATGAGAGCAAGAAAAAAAATGGTTTCAAAGGAGATTAATTAGGGAAAATTCAAAACGGGGATAAAATTTGAATAATTGATTTGAAGTGTTTCATCTTCTTCAACATATTCATCGTTTAAACAAAAAACAAACATATTCATCGTTAGGAGAGAAAAAATGAGCTAGAATGATAAATTTAAGGTAATAGAATATTGAGATATATGGGTCACATGGGATATTTTAAAACATATGGATTATATGAGTAATATGATCATGTGGGTCACATATGTCAACTTCAATTATATTAATCATAGAATAATATATATAAGTCATAGCGAATCGTATGGATCACAAAGTTAGCACATGTAGTGAAATCAGTACGAGAGAGAAAAAATAGAACGGTAATATAAGTAAAAATTTATAATAATAATAATAATAATAATAATAATAATAATGGATGAACTGGATTTTTTTCATGCGAGTAATGAATGATATGATAAGATCTTGCAATTAGTTCACATATATACACTAAAAGCCATCGTACCAAACATTGTGTTCGTTAGCTAGGAGAGGAATCTCCGGTCTAGAATCTGGTAGACAAGTGGGGTTGGTTTCAAATCAAACCGGCCCGGTTATGTAAGGAAGACCGACCGACCAACATATTCATTTGCTTTCGGTCCTGGCATTGAAAATAATTATGCATGTGTTAAGAATTACATCTCTTGCGTTGAAATTTTTCCCACGTGAAAATGTCACATTTAATGGCCATTTTGACCTTGACAAAATTCAAACACCGCCATAATGTTGTCCCGGGCTTGTCTAATTCTATAATAATATCGAAATATAAATATTGTTTATCCTTTTTCACGTAATAAAGCAGAATCTTATGACAAAAAAAAACGAATAAAGTAAAACTTTACTATATTTACACCAACTTGATGTAACGTCATCCTTCACTCTACGAACAAAAAAACCCTATTGGGCAAACAAAAAGAAAACTAACCACTTTCTCAGTGAGTTCTGAGCTGCATACATGCATACATACATACATACATACATACATACATACATACATACATACATACATACATACATACATACATACATACATACATACATACATAATACATACATACATGCATACATGCATACATGCATACATGCATACATGCATACATGCATACATGCATACATGCATACATACATGCATACATGCATACATGCATACATGTATGAGTATATACAATTAATAGATGTACAAAAGCATTGGCAGTAGTAAAACATTGTTTATTTTAAGGATTTTTGGGTTGAGGTATATAAATCTAAATCTAATTAAATATAAAATAAATTTATTTAAATTAAAAATGTTTTAAAATACAACCATGTATGAATTTTTTAAATAAAATATCAAATTTTAATTGAATATGAAAAAACCAGGTAAATTACTAACTTATGATATGATGACGAAGTGTTCATATAAATTTTCAATTTTGTTAATATATATATATATATATATAACTGTGATATTTCGATTAGTTTATACAAAACCAAAATTAAACCAAACCAAATAATATCTAGATATACTATATTTGAATAACCTGATTCGACCTAATTCTTTTTAAATCAATTTAATCAAATTCAATTTGAATATAAAAATCAAATGAAAATGTAATTGAAAACAAAAATCTCTTCAAAAAGCATTTTAACCGAAAAATCTAAAAACAAACTAAAATGTGACATAAATATTGAATAATATTTTTTTCTAAAATTAAAAAACAAAAATAACTAAACCAAAATTTAACCCAAAACCTACAAATCTGTCCTAGTAATAAGTTTGTCGTGAACAATCATTTGCATGATTCGTGTGATAGTGTGATACACATTGATTTGTTGTTATGACTTTTGTATAAAATAATATTATATGAAATGGAAATGTAGAAAGAATCAAATGTCAAAAGTTTCGGATACCAAATATATCCAAGCAAAGAGGCAAACTTGCAATATTTATAACGAAGGACAACATAAATGGACGGCTCCCATTAGCATGTCCGATTTTTTTTTTTTAAAATTTATTTGGGGACAAAACCTGTCTCACGAATTTGCAACACACTAACACCAATTTGTGTGCGCGTTTTTTCATTAGTGATGCCGCTATCTTTTGTACTTTGATCGTGCATTAGTGTGTGGACAAATTATATATACTAATGCTTTATTAGGGTGAGTTAATTTCGGAATATAAAATAGAAGATTATATAATTTCGTGACTCTAAATTAGTTAAATTGATGGAAACTCACTTGCATATTAAGGTTTGTAAAGAAATCCAAAATGTCAATTAACCAGGACACACCTTTTCACATTAAATTCTTGTAAAAATAGGGTTTTCATGTCTAGAGACGAAAAAAAGTTTCCTTTTGTGTAAGTAATTATTATTATATTTTTCATACCAAAAAAAAAATATTATTATATTTTGTTTACGATAATTTTAACTTTTTCAGTCTCGCTAATCCTTTAGATCCGGAAGTGAGTAACTTAATAGTAAATATAAAAAATTATTTTATATAAATCACATTTGCTGAGATTTTTCTCGAAATAAATTGATAAATTATCTATTTCGGATATAACAAATACAATTTTTGTTTGTAGATATTTATCTTAAATTGTCGGAAAATAGTATAATTACCTCATTTTGTATTTATTTGCAATTATTTTTCAGCGGTAGCAAGCCCTGGATATTCTCCTATATTATGCAAGACTACTAGGAAAACATCAGGCATACCATATCTCTGAATAGATAAATAGATAGATGTAAGATATATAATATTTATTAATTCTAGTATTTTTGTAAGAAAGCAAATAAGTATAAATAAATAAATTTAGTAGTTCTATTGTAAAAAAAATGTTATTTTACTTAAATATTTTTTTTTATAAATTAGGCCTACATGTTCCAACCCTTTTTATATTTGTTAACATATTTTTCATAATTAATGATACTGTTGATATATATATATATATATATATATATTTATATACGTTGTAAAAAGTAC